TGACCTTTTTACAAACCCGTTTGACCGAATTAATCAAAAGTGAATCATCTTCAAATCTGGCATAGCTAGTTCTTCTTCTAAAACAAAGAAAAACATGACTTGATTGTTGAATCATTATCAGAAATATATATATATATATTTATGGTCAATCCTATTGACACATAAGAATTTATCAGTAAAGTTTTACTGGGCCACAGTGGTCTTTCGCTATGGGTCTTTTATGAGTAAATGGGTCTAGCAACACCCCGAGTAAGAGCAGCCATTCATCCCTTGGGCTGTTTTGCCCACTACCATCAAGGAGAAAACCAGCCCAAGAACAGCCTTTTTCTCACAGGATCAAACTGCTCAAAAATATCTTTCTGTTCCACTTTCCCCTAATCAGACTGCAAGGTGCTACAAAGACTGGCACCATCTCCAGATCATGATTGTTAATGGCTCTGGTTTCTCTGTATATCGTATGCCGGCTATCCATTGATATGAATTGCGATGCAGCACACACAGTCTCTCGCTTCATATGCAGCTGTGCACACTGCTATACTGACAGGATTGCTCTCTGTAAACATTGTTCATATGCTGCGTTAATCATCTGTATATTGTAATTTGTGAACAGTGTCATTGTCTGAGTCTGTCAGACAGTAATAATCATTTGTCCTGTAGAGTCTTGTATTAAATGGTTTCTGGAGGCACTTGTGCTGCTAGAGGAAAGAAATGATGCAATAAAATGGGAATCAGAATGAGCAGGTCATCAGCCTTCGAGTACAAATGCATTGCCTTCAGATGATATCATGATTATTAAGGATTATTATGATTACATCATAGTGACCTCTTTATTGTTAATGAAAGGAAAATGTTATCTGATATTAACCCGCTCTAATTAGAGGTTGATTTTAAATGACTTGGTCCAGAGCCGTGAGCACAACCCAACATGCCTGGACTCCGAGAAAGACATTATTTCAGCAAGAAAACATTCATTATATTAGGTTGATAACATCCATTCATCTTTTACATTTTTTTAGACACAAATTTTCTGTTAAATCTTCACGCAAAAAGAAGTGTATCGTGGTAAGAAGCTACAGTATGCCAAAATACTACAGTCATATGGTTAAAAATAAACACTTAAAAAAAAAAAACCACTTCTTAAATCTTAAATGCTATTTTTTTTAAAGTGTATTATTATAGTTAAAGTTTAACTATAGTATTTAATGTTTAAAATTAAAGAAATGTTTAAAATTAAATATGAAACCACATTATGTGTGGACCATTTACCATATTTAACACAGCTGATGAGTAATTAAAATAATTAAATAATCAGAATTAATGAGCTCAACATTCGTTCATCTGGTTGATACTTTTTTATAACAAAAAATATTTTTTAATAACTTATTATTATGACTTTTTTATTACTTGCCTGTTGAACTAATGTCATTAATCTGATTTTTTATTTTTATATATATATATATATATATATATATTTATTCCTGCTTGATACTGTAAAGCTGCTCTGACACAATCAGTACTGTATAAAGCGCTATACAAATAAAGGTGTGTTGACTTGACTTGCACATGCAAATGACTTGATCTCTGACCTTCCTGCTTTTAAATGAAAATCATTCTTTGACTCTTATTTTAAAAGGTCAGTATTTTGGCTTCCTATAAAACTCCCGGGTGGTCAGTATTACCAATTGTTGCATTACATTTGTTCTTTTAAATGTAACACGTGCAGATATCACGTTAAACCACTAGAGGGCGCTGCTGCATTGCATTGATTGAAAGTGTGCTGTCAGTACTATCCATGTGACATAAACCTTTGCCTTGCCTTGCCTTGCCTTGCCTTGAAAGATGTGATAGCCTACTTATTAATAGCTGACTAGGAAATGAGAAATACCTGATATTGCTGATATTGTTCCTTGTATTTCTCTTGCTTCTTCAGACAATCTGTTATGGATTAACTCTGTTGTATGTTTACAGTCTTCAGTATTAGTTTTTGAATTTTCATTTGGAACAGAAAGATTTGAATTTGTGATATGATGTCAATGCCATGAAATCAAACTAGGCGCTGATAACATAAACACACTGCTGGACAACATGAACCTTTCATTAATGAGGCCTTTTGTGTGAGGCTTAAATAAAGGTTCTTTTGTTGTAGCCAGATAAAGATAAAATAAAAAAAAAACTTGTAATCTTACTTACATTCTAATGGCCATTTCTTGTTTACAGAGATGTTGGTGTAGGTGAAACACACAAACACACACACTCTCTCTCTCTCTCTCACACACACACACACTCACACACACACACACACACACTCTCACACACACTCACACACACTTTCTCACACACACATACACACACACACACACACACAGGTTTGTTTTTATGGTTTATGAGGCGTAATGGTTTTTATACTGTACAAACCGTATTTTCTATTGCCCTACACCAACCCTACCCCTAAACCTACCCCTCACAGGAAACTTTCTGCATTTTTAGATTTTCAAAAAAACTCATTCTGAATTATTTATAAGCCTTTTGAATTACGGGGACACTGAAAATTTCCTCATAAATCACCTTCTCGTTGTAATACCTATGCCATACCCACGTTATTATACAAATTTGTGTCCTCATAAACCACATAAACATATGCACACACACACACACACACTCTCTCTCTCACACACACACACACACACACACACTCACACACTCACACACCCTCTCTCTCTCACACACACACACACACACACACACTCACACACTCACACACCCTCTCTCTCTCACACACACACACACACACACACACTCACACACTCACACACCCTCTCTCTCTCACACACACACACACACACACACACTCACACACTCACACACCCTCTCTCTCTCACACACACACACACACACACACACTCACACACTCACACACCCTCTCTCTCTCACACACACACACACACACACACACTCACACACTCACACACCCTCTCTCTCTCACACACACACACACACACACACACTCACACACTCACACACCCTCTCTCTCTCACACACACACACACACACACACACACACACACTCTCTCACACACACTCACACACGTGGACACATGTCATGAATATGAAGGTTTTTTATGCATGTTTATGACAACTGTCATTAAGTGTCATTCGCTCAGTTATGTCATTTTTAATGCAAAGATGACATTGTTTGAGATGTCTTTGTTATGGACTATGGTTAGGGGTAGGGTTAGGTCAAATAATGTCATCTTTGCATAAAAAATTGTCATAAACATGCATAAAACCACCTTCATATTCATCACGTGTGTTATGTCATGATTATGAAGGTGTCATGTCAGTCTTATGCAGTAAAGTGTTTAATAGGGTATTTATGTCATGCAATTTTTGTGTAAATACATGTACTTGAGAGGCTTTATACTTTGCAGTTTAAGATGGCTTTGGTTGATGTTGAAAAAAAATATCAACAGGAAGTATCCTCATAAACCATGTTCACGTTGTAATACCTCTGTCATTATACACATTTGCATCCTCATAAACCATATAAACATGCACACACAATTTGTCAAGCATGGGGAAAACAAATGGAACAACACAAATGACTATCAATGAGAAATTAACAGGAGCTTGGGGCACAATTGTAACCAGAATGAACAAAAATGCCCTCCAATTTAAAGATAAGAGGGCAAAAATGCCCCTGCATAATGAATCTAGCTCTATTACAGCTGTCACTATTAAAGTAAGAAGTGAAATGAATGAAAAGTGTTGATTGCTGGCTGGATTAGAGTAGCATCAGGCTTCTGTTTACACATGCTACTGAAATAACCAATGTGCTTGATCTTGATTTTCTAATCCGCAAAAAGCAATACACAAATTAGCAAATTGTTCTTAGCTTGTTTTGTATGTAGACAGAATACGATGTACCTTTTCCCCCACAAAAACTTGATATCAATCAGCATTAATGATCAGTACCCCACCTGTAACAATTTTTGGTTACACTTTACTTGAAGGGGTGTGCATAAGACTGACATGACACCTTCATAATCATGACATGACACACGTCATGAATATGAAGGTTTTTTATGCATGTTTATGACAACTGTCATTAAGTGTCATTCGCTCAGTTATGTAATTTTTAATGCAAAGATGACATTGTTTGAGATGTCTTTGTTATGGACTATGGTTAGGGGTAGGGTTAGGTCAAATAATGTCATCTTTGCATAAAAAATTGTCATAAACATGCATAAAACCTCCTTCATATTCATCACGTGTGTTATGTCATGATTATGAAGGTGTCATGTCAGTCTTATGCAGTAAAGTGTTTAATAGGGTATTTATGTCATGCAATTTTTGTGTAAATACATGTACTTGAGAGGCTTTATACTTTGCAGTTTAAGATGGCTTTGGTTGATGTTGAAAAAAAAAATATTATTTCATAAGTCATGAGTTCTGTTGGGTTAAGCAAATGTATATTTTTGTGTATATGTGTATACATTACTTTATATACAGTGTATACACATACACAATATAAACATAGTCTATAATATGTTAACATTCAACACCAAAATACACTAATACCGAGTATATTATTGTAGCCTACATAGTTTCATGAATACAGCACAAACAGAAAGGTTCAATTCATTGACTAATATGCAACCAAATCAACGTGGTTTAATACAACCGATAATAAAATAAAAATACAAACATGCCATATAAAATCTATCAGGTACCCATCCATATCGTATTAATATTACAATCTCTTGCAAGCAGATACACGATGTATCGTTCTGACTGACGTCAGAGGCTGAACCGGAAGCTGTTCCGTCTGTGTGTGTGTGTGTGTGTGTGTGTGTGTGTGTGTGTGTGTGTGTGTGTGTGTGTGTGTG